AGGTGCTGTGGAAACTGAGTCAAATTTTGTATGGAGGGACAAGTTAGTACAAGACTGTAAATGTAGGCAGAGTAGTTGGCCCATGACTTGGAGGCAATGTGGAATCATGGTAGATTCCTGCTTGTTGATGTTAGGGAATAATTCCAGTGAACAAGGAAATAGCCAGAGAATGGACAGAAAAGACTGACTATTCCATAGATTTCAGAGCCAGCTCCTAAATAATTTAAGATTACAAAGACTCTGGTGGGTTAATTAAAATAAGACAACCAACACGTGTCTTTTTTTAGGGGACGAAAAAGATTTCAAAGCATATGATGTATGAAGAAGGGAATAGTAAAAATGGTCTTTGGTGATGAAAACATGGGACATGACTGGTTTAGTGAAATAAAAGAATGGCAGTCATTAACTATAATGACATCTGTGAGTTGCTGCCTAGTTGGAGAGTTGCTGTCCCAGCTTACTGTCCTGGTGGATATTAGTCCACAGTGAGTGGCTCTATGCCTGAATCTAAAAAAACAACATAGACTCTGGTATCAAACATATCTGTGTAGTATTCAAAGCACATAGGAGCCAATTTCAAATAATTCCAACTCAGATTTTGAAGAGCACCCCGTACCCCTCTATGGGTGGGAGATTGAACCCATCTGTCCACACGTGCCATCTCTCCTCAGGCCTGTTCTTTTAGATCCCCAGGATGTGGGCTACATGCAGCTGGACACATTTATTCCCTGGCAGAGAAAGGATAAGGCTGGATGTGGATGGGTGGGGGGAACTAGGTGTGCAGCTATAAATAGCTCTTAAGAACAATGGACACCATGGAAATGCTTTGGAAGCATCCATATAACAAAGGAAGCAAGAAACTAAAGAAAGGTAGAAAAGAAATGAATCACCACCAAAAATAAAAAGGCAGGATGGCTGTCTCTCTCTCCTTCTTTCTCTCTCCCTTTCTCTCATATATAAATATATATACTTCTACAGACACACACACACACATACATGCCCCAGACACAAAGCAATAGTTGCATTACAGTATTAAAAGACAAAAGCAGATTGCAGAACAATATATAAAAGACAATTTTATATTTTTTAGCTAAAAAAGGTCAATTACTGTCAATTTCATGTAGTTTCCTGCAGCTATATATGTATAAGCATATACTCATGCACATCATCTTATATATGTATCAAATCATAAGGAAAAAAGCTGATATTTGTACATGTAACTTAACATTAATGATAACCTCTTGGTGGTAGAAATTATGTTTTTTTTTCTTTTGCACTTGTGAATATTTTTTTTATTTTGGACACAGCAACTGTGTAATAAACTACGTAAATAGAAAAATGATTTTTTTAGGAAAACATGACAATTTAAGATACTATTAAAAATAAAATAAAAAAACACTTTTACATGTTTAACTCGTAAATACACAAATTATAAGACTGAGTTATAATGTCTTATCAATTTCCATTTACCCAGAAGGTACCTCTCCATGTATGTTAGACCCTGGGAAATCTGTTATGATTTTCCCAAACTCCAGCTCAGCTGCCACTGGATCAAAATTACATTTCTCTGCCTGCAGGATACAGAAAGAGCCTTCTGAGTCCATCTGTGTACTATAGCCACCCAACAGCCTTTTCAGGAGACAGAGAGTAACTGAAGTCGAGAACACAGAGCCCCAGATTTGTTGCTAGGAAGTGGTGGTGCCCTCAGTAATTACAAAAACACAAACCCCAGTTAATAAGGAGCTCTTGGAGTGGTGCTCAGGCATGAGTATTTTTTAAAAAGCTCCCCAGATGATTCTAATGTGCAGCCAACATTAAGAACCATGGCCTTGATGGATTGATTTACTAAGAGGTCATTGAATATGGCCTTGGAGAAAGGTAACATTCAAGTGGAGGATTTCATTGACCAAGACCAAGTGCATGCATGTTCCTGAGCCTTGTGAGAAAATGCCTATGCAGACAGAAGAAAAAAACTTGGAGTATGGAACGGGCAGTTCTTGCAAAAGATAGTGAGGTCAGTAGGTAGTCTTCTCTCGAGCTCATGGGAGAACAATCTCTGATCGGATATTTCAGGCTGGGAAAATGCTCTATGACAGCAGCTTGCTGTCAAGATTCTGGTATTTAACAAAATACAGCAGAACTCAATTTTGCTGCTGGTGCCGGGAGATTAAAGCTCTCTTGGACACCAGAAGCTTCCAGCCTTTTCTGTTTAAGGATGCACGCTGACGCACGAAACATGCTGGACCTTAGCGTAAAAAATTCTTTGGTAGAACAGCAGCCCTTTGAATAAATTTTACTCTGCTTTAGGAAATCCTTTCACATGGATTTCTCTGGAATGTCTTTGGGTGTTCTTCTGCAGATTTATAGTGGGTGAAAGCTAGGGAGCCCATAGGGGTCTTCTGGTTCCTGCTCGTCTTTCTACATATCAGGAAAGTGAAGTTTTAACTTGCCATCAGTCTCAGAAAGCGGAGGCCAGGACTAGACACAAGATTCTTAATTTTTGCCCTTAAAGCATGCCTGAAATTCACTAGACTTTCTGATTTGGAGGTGTGACATGTCTCCAAGCAGTAGCACAGTCATTTTTTTACTCTGAACAAATGATGATGATCCTATTCATAATATGTTGAAATTATAATTTCATTTATTAGCTACCATTTACTGATGCTGAACACGTGCTAGCCCTTTGCTATTGGCTTTATATTTATCATGTATAATCCAAGTACCAAGTTTCAAGGACATTATTATTCCCATTTTACTGTGGAGAGCACTGAGGTGACAGATAGAATGAAGACAGTTCGAGGTTTAAATCCAGTCTGGCCCTGAGAGTCTGCACTGCTCCCACAACACCACACTGCCAATGACGATGACACCAGAGCTGTGTCAGAGTGGGGAACACCCCACTCCTCTGCCCTGAGTGCCCTGTGACCCAGATCTCTGTCTCAGGACCTCAGCCCTGTTCAGCCCCATTCACTCTTTCTTCTTTTCTCACTGTAACCGGGAGAACTCTACCACCCCAATTTTTTCACAGCCTGTCTGTATTCAATTTATCTTCCTGGGGAATGGTTATATATCTCACCTGTTTTTAATAGAGTTTCATTTTGCTACCTGGCATAATCTCCATTCCTGTGGTTTAGAAGGAAGAAAATACTGTTAAGCTCAGCCAGAGTTCTAAACAGATGTTCTGCACGTCTCTTTGTGTCATTCTAGCAATGCATCACTTTCAGATGTCTTAGCCTTAGCCTGCCAGCCTCGCTGTGCCCCTGCCAAATGCTCTCAGATAGCATGCAATAAGCAAAACCTGAAGTTAGGTTAAAACCCCCAAAGTTGTTTTATTCTAATTCTTGAGTGCATTAGCATCTGGACTTGGGAGGTGCCACCTGCTCTGAGGAAAACTAGTGGCAGTGAATCTGTGCAGTAAGGGTGACGCAGCGTTGTCTGTGTAAAAATCGGAATATGATCATATCAACTTGAACAACTTATTTTTGGGAGGATTTTTTCATTTTAAAGAAGGATTTGCCAGAAATTACCCTTTCCCACTTAACTTTTCCATTGTATAAAAAAAGAAAAAAAAGAAAAGAAAAAAGGTGGCCCATTGGCAAGACTGATTTGCACACAACTTTGAAAAGCTACTTCCATAACAAATCAGATAGCAAAACACACAAGGGCTGAATTCAAAGTACACTCTCAGGGTTTTCTGTCAAAATTGGTCTTAAGTGCAGGAGCAGGTTGGGGTGAGTGATATTCTGTGAAGGATTCGGAATACAGCCGTGTCTGTCTGCCTGGGAGGGGTCACGATGCAGTCAGTCAGATAATATTTATGAAGTTCTCAAATGTGTCCTCTGCTAGATTTGATTCAGTTAAAATCATAATCCAAAATGACAGTGTCTCACCCTGCTTGGTTCGCCTTCAGGCAAATGAAGGAAGGGGACTGTACTAGGTGACCTTTCAAGGTCCCCCTACCATAGTGTGACTCTGTGAATGATTAGCAACAGTCTCAGGGCTTGCAGGCTGACAGTGTTCCGTCTAAGTCTTATGAAGGGACTTATAAGAGGGATAATACACCATGCAAACCTTCTGGAATCTTGACATGGTGTCTAAAGTGTAGTCGTCCCAGATTTCTGCATGGTGGTGGAGTTGTGTGGGCTGGGACAAGGCCCGGGCTGGGGGAATGGGGAGCGGAGGGACGGTGGTATAAGACATAGTAAGCCGCAGGCGCCATGTCTCAAAGTGACTTGTAAGATTACTTGGTGATGGGAGACCAGACAGGAGAGGGTGGTTGGAGGACAACGGGAGAATTGACAAAAATGTCTCAATCTGAGCTCTGGCTCCTATGGCCCTGCTTAAGGAAGAGGCTGAATGTCTTTTCTCTTTAGCCATCTCATCTGACCACTGCACTGCTCAATACCATGATTACAGAATGACACCTTTCCATTAAGAGAGATCGTACCCATTTTAACAGATAAGAGACATGATACCCAAAAGTATGATTTCTTAAAAACAAACCTTCAGTATGCTCACAGTATTGTACCCATAACAAGAATGGATAAATGGCATACTTTGGAACTTTTTATCCTGGCTATAACTGCAAACCAATGCGGAAGCCCTTTAAATATTTATTCACTGGTTCATTTTTCTATCATCATATATAGTGAAATAACATCCCTTACCTGAGCAGTCTTCCAGCTGTATATAAAAAAGGGATAGGCTGCAAGCTCACTGCTCTCTTCGTGCTGATAAGAATCTAGCAAATGCAACAGAGAGAAACTCTAGTAAGCCTGAGGGAACATAAAAAGAATGAAGCAACCCATCCTCAAAAAAACATCGCAAAGGAGAAAAAAATTAGGATGAGAAGGAAAAATACAGACAACATAATCCATATTGTCTGCAAAAACAGAAAAGACATTTCATGGTTAGAAGTAGACATAAAGTGCTATAGGAAATATATCTGCTCCGTGTAAATTTATTAAATGCAACTTTCTTTTTCTCTTTCTTTCTTTTAGATAAAAAACCTCTTCATGAAATAAAACCCCAAAGTAAGTTATTTTTCCTCTTGTGAATATAATTTTTCTCATATTTGTTGCCTTACTGTTGTATTTGTTTAGGAGCCAAATGGAATTGAAGTTTGTAAGAAAGATCCGGGGATTTCAGGGCTTCTCCTCACGGGGTTTGGAGTCACATATCAGAGGTTGAAATCGAAAAGAAATATGCACGCCCCTCCCCTCCCTCAGAATAAAAGTAAATCTCTCCTCTTGATTCCGCCTGCCTGTAAGTCCATTTCTCTGCAAATGTCATCTAGGATTCTTATTTCTGAGGAGATTTATAGCATTAAAATTAATAAATATTTGTCAGTACACGCTTTCATGAGAGCAGCCTTGGGAAACAGGCTGACACCAAGCTTCTCCACCTCGGAGGAGGGGGTGGCTGAGAGGCAAACCATGAAATCCACGGCAACTGGAGAATTTAGGAACCGGTATTCCACAGTGAAACCATCAGGAACTAAAAATTTGGGTGTCGGTGCTGGCTTGAGCTCTCTGTACATAGCCTTGCTTCCTGCAGAGACCTTTGCATTATCTCCACCTTATGCATACAGTGGATTTGGGAAAAGCAACACAGCTTGAATTGTTGGCAGCTCAGCCTTTGACCCAGGAGTTTTCAGCCTTGCCTGGACTTTAGAGCCACCTGGAGGTGGATTTTTTTTTTTTTAAATCCCAATTCCCAGGCTGTACCCCCAGACCAATAGAATCTGAATGGGCGTGGCTTAGAATCCAGGAATTCCTAATTTTAAAGATCATCAGGTGATTTCAACGTGCAGCTTGGTTTGAGGACCACTGTCTTAGAAAAATGTTTCTCAAAAGGTGAATCAGCGACCACGTGCATCAGAATCTTGGGGTGTGGTGGGAGCTTGTTTAATATGCCCCACCTCAGAATAGATCAAATGAACTAGAAATTCTGCTGCAGGGGTGGGAGGGAGGGTGGCTCCAGAGCATCTCCATGTTAATAAGTCCCCCAAATGGTTCTCAAGCATTCAGAAATATGTAAAGAAAACTAGGGAAACCTCAAGATGGAAAGGTGTCAGCAATACCGCTCTTGGCAAAAGGAGAGTTAGACAACTGCCTGGCTGGTTTGGTTTGTAAAGCTTGTGGAAGATGTCCCTGGCCAGTATCTCCTACAGTGGGATAAGATGAATGGCTTCTGATCTTTTAAATCCTGGTGTTTAAAATTCAAGTAGCTTGGGAGGGTTAATAGCTCTTATTAGCTAACGTCTTTGAAAGAATTAAGACCCTGTGACAATAGACAGAAATAGGTACCTTCGGACCTAGTACCTGGGGATCAGGAGACATGAGAGAAAGATCTAGTAAGGCTGTTATGTTCATACTTCATTATGCTGCTTCAGGCAGGTTTTCATATAAAGATGCCATCACAGGCAGAGTCCGAGAACTTTGCAGAGCAACAAACTTTCTTAACTTCTCTTCCCTATCTGCTGTCCTTACAGTCATTACTGGTTCTTAGGTAGTGGTCCTCTGATATCTTGCATACTTCATTTTGAACTCACAGGAAGATCGAAGGTGGGGAAACCTGGCTGTGTGTATGTGTATATGCATGTGCATGTTGAGGGAGAGAGTAAAAAACAGGTCATTGAATATTTGCCTTGTGCCTGGGTCAAGACCTCAGGATGACAGCTGGAGTAAGTGTACTTTCAATTGCCTCCTGGTCATAGAGCCCATGCCATCCACTGGTTCTCGTGTGTAACGCCAGCAAGAGCATGGCTATCCGTGTAGTGGCCAATGAGAGAGTTACTTAGAAATGCACATGTGCTTTTTAAAAATTAATTTCATGCTTAGTTTGTGAGTCCTGTATCATTCTAATTTGGTTACATCAGTACTTCCAGCCATAAACCCCACAGTAGCTATTTCTAGTCCTCAGGGATTTCTGAATTAGTTTTTGCTTGGGGATCTCGCTCCTGAACACCATGCTTAATTGCTGGATACTGCAATGGAATTGCTTAAACTGTTTTAATTTGTGATTTCCTAAAAATAAACTCTTCACAGAACCAATGTGATTGCTAAAGTCTCCCCGAGGAATCTAATCGGGGTTCTGTAAGTTGCGTGGTTAGGAGTGCATTATACAAATTCAGGCTGTGGTTGTTCAGTGAAAGAGGGGCTTAGTTTAAGACGACATGAATCATTACTGATGCAAAATCAAAGTCAATTATGAAGATAATTGAGAAACAACCTGCTCCTATATATAGCTGTACACATGATCCTCCTCAAGGCCTGGTGGATAGAAAACATCACTCAGAGCCTTGCACGCAGTCCTCTGTGAGCAGGCGGGCCGAGGAGCCAGCTTTGGGTTGCAGGGAGGTGTAAAAAGAAAGTGAAGTCTTAAGGTATCTGTTGGCAAATCATAATGACAAACTGGGGAAAATATGTGCACGGCGTAGCTCATGAAAGCACTTATTGTAAATGAGATAATTTAATCAATTACGTTTCCTAATGTACTAAACCGAATGTTTCATTTTCTGCTTCTGCACATCTTAAATTATCTTCAGGTGCTTTATGAGATTTAATCATAGTTAATAGAAACTTCATTACCATCAAATGTGCTTTCAATAAATGTTGTGTAACAATGTCAGGAGGTGCAGTAAAATATAGTAGATTCTGAATGGCAAACACGCACCCCCAGAGTCAGACTGAGAAATGGTTGTGTTCAGACAATGAGACTTCTTGTGGAATGTGGCTTTCTGAAAAGCTGTGAGCTCCTAAGAAGTGGCTAATTGAGCAGGTTCACCTTAGGGATGAAAAGAACTTACCCTTCCCCTAGAAAATAACTCAGAACCACACAGTCTCTCTTCCTCTCCTTTCCACATAGTCATTTCATACCTAATAGAGATGCATGCTAAGCACAAATCCAATAGTTTTAGAGTAAGCTACCATCAGGACATCTCCAGTTGAAAATCTCCTGAAAACCTTAATCTCAATTTTTTCAAAATTGAATTTATCCTTGTCTGTCCCTGTTCTCAATACAGTTCTGTCCCATCTTCTCTAGTTCAGTGAATACTATACCATCAACTTAATTCTAGGTCTGAAAATTGGAGAGCTGCCTAGGACTCTCTCCCCTCGTCCTCCCCCTTCTGCTTAATACCCAATAAATCATTGCAATCTGACTATTTTACCACCTAAATAGATCTCAAGTTCATCAGCCTCTCTCCATTTTCACTCTATTCCTGTCTTCCCTTTATTCATTCAATGCTTATTTATTGAGTGCTCACCATGTGCTAGGAAATGTTCTAGGTGGTGGAAAATCAACACTGAGCAAAACAGAAACAGTTTCTGCTTCCACAAAGCTCACAGTCTAAGTGAGCGGAAATGGAAACAGACCAGAAAATATGTAGTGCTCAGTGCCATGGAGATAGTAGTAAGTGTTGTGAAGTGAAATGAAGCTGGGTAAGGGGCTCGGGCAGGGTTGGAGGGAGTGCTGCATTTTTGTAGAAGGTGTTCAGAGGTCTCTGTGATAAAGTTACGTTTCACAAGAGACTTGAAGAAAAGCAAGGAAACAAACATTCTGGATATCTGGGGGGCGAGCATGCCAGCAAAGGGAACAGCAGGATGCAAAGGCTGTGAGGTGGGAGCTTCCTTGGGGTATCAGGAGCAGTAAGGAGGCCAGGGTATCTGGAGCAGCGTGGCAAAGGGAGTAGCTAAGATCAGAGATGTGGGGCAAGGGGGTAACTGCCAAGTGCGTTATAGGCCATTGTAATGACTTTGAACTTTGCTGCAAGCAAGATGGGAAGCCATTGAAGGTTTTTATTCATAGTGACATGAACTAATATTTTCAAGGATAAACTCTGCCTGCTGTGTTGAGTTTAAACATATAGGGAACCAGAGCAGAAGCAAGGAGCCCTGTTACAATGATCTTTTGTAACAATAATCTATTACAATAATCTAGGCTATTACAATACCTAAATTCAAGATGGCTGTGGCTTGAGCCAGAGAGATAACATCGGAAATTGTAAAAACAAGTTGTATTCTGGATATCTTTTGAAGGCAGAGTCAAAAAGATTTGCTGATGGGTTGAACATATAGTATGAGAGAAAGAAAAGTATTATGGGTGATTCCAAAATTTTGGCTACGCAGTTAGAAGGATGGAGTTGCCATTACTGATTTGGGGAAAACTTGGTCTAGCAAATCTGGAGGGCAAATAAAGCATTCGGTGTTACAAATGCTAAGTTTGAGATACCCATTAAACGTCTAAATGGAGAAGTTGAGTAGGCAATTGAAAATACGAGTCTGGAGGACAGAGGAGTGTCCTGGCTGGTGACATAAATCTGGGGCTTGTCAGTGTCCAGATGATATTTAAAACCTTTAGGTTGAATGAGATCACCAGATAATGAGTGTGAATAGAAAAGGGAAGAGATCTGAAGACCAAACGCTGAAGGACATCAACATTTAGATGTAAAGAAGGTCAGAAATCACCGCAGAGGAGACAGAAAAGTAATAGCCAGTATAGTAAGAGAAAAACCAGATGAAAAGAAAATGGTATCCCAGAAGAAAAGTTTAAAAAGTTCAGGCCATCTTCATTCCAAACCAGGATTTCTACAGTTGCGGCCCTGTATACAGTCTTGCCCTATATCAATTTATCTGATCTTTCTAAAACATGAATTCTGGTCACATCGCCTCCATGTTTAAACCTCTTCAATAGCTCACCATTATTTTTCAGGTAAAGCCCAAAGTACTTAACATACATGATCTGGTCTCAGCTTTCTTTTCTTAATCACATCAGCTTCTCTCAATCAGCTTAATCATTGCATCTTTTACTTCCAATATTCTTCAGCCAAACAAAGCATCTTAGTTTTGAATAGCCTATTCCCATTGGGCATAGAGTACCTTATACATTCTGTTACTTCTGCCTGAAAACTCTTTTCCTCCACCTAATACTTAACCTGTTTAACTTATTCTTCCTTCAGGTCTCTGCTTAGGTGTTACTTCTGCAAGGCCTTCACCAAACCCCGCCGCTCGCCCCAACCGAGTCTGGGTTA